TTGTAACGAAAATATGCATCTCTTCTCGGTATTTCGGTATTCGTTACTGGAGGATCGATGACGGTTCAGCTCACTTCGGTTTTGGTACGAGGACAGTAGTATCTGGTTGTATTTGCGAAATGGTGATATGCACTCCTTGTGTCCATGAATGACCTTGAAATAGGGCATGGAATGGCAAACGTGAAAAGGGGGAACTTCCGTTCCGTTCGTCACGGAGACTAGAGTTTGAGGTAGTATAATTAATTGCCTTTGTGTGCGCGGGAGGACGAGTGTGAAATAGTGGAAATTTTTCGAAAGGCCGTTCGTTGTGTGTGTGGGGGGGGAATAGTAGCAGTTGGAGTCACTGTCGCCGGCATTGCTCGCTTGTGATTGGAGTCGGTATAGTCAGGAGGGAAAGGGAGGGGAGCGCTAGATGATTTGCAATCCGAATTGTGCATGTTTTAATTTTTCATCGTTTGTAGGAGAAAAACTGCGTGGATCTGAAATGATTGATTTGGTAAGTTGCTGTTGTTGGATTGGTGAATGGAATCAACTACCAACTAGATTACTTCCTTTTCCTCAACATATTTTTAGCATAAATCATGAAAAATATTTTTCGTTTGCTTGCTTAATAGGGCAACGTAAATCATATGATCCTTTTTAAATAAATATGATCCTTTTTTATCCCGCTGTACCTACTTCAGAAAATGTCACAGCATCTAGTGGATCACTAAGCCAATCAACATAAAATACAGACGCAATTTTAAACTTTTCTAATGAAAGAACAAAGATAACTGACCCACTTATGATAATTCTTCCCCCTTCTAAAAACAGATTTTCATCTCGCCAAAAACTAAACCCAGGTCACGTGCCTAACGCAGGATTGTCAACGCCTGCTTTACCCCCCAGGACGTGACCACGCTCCTCCGATAGGAAGAGAGGTGAACTTTGACCTGGCAGTCCGAATTTTTTTTTTTTTTTTTACTCCCTCTGGAGCTTATTTGAGGGGGGGGAACTATCGAATGGAACACCGGAAGAAATTATCCGGACATGTTTATGTAAACATACATGTCCCTCCCTTTTTTTCCTTTGCATTTTTTGCTCTTTCATGCCTGATTAATAGAATCATTAGGCGATATTGCACTTAGTTCCTTCAGTGCGCAAATGTTAAAGGGTTCGGTATTCCCGTTACTAGGGTATTCGGTACCAAATCGTTACTAGGGTACTTCGGTACTCCAAATCGTTACTAGGGTACTCCGGTACCGTTACCAGGGTACTCCGTTACGTACTCCGGTATTTCGTTACTTCGGTACTTCAAATCGTTACTTGGGTACTCGGTACTTGAAATGGGTTTTTGGTACTTTTCAAAGTAACGGTTACTTGAGCAACGAGTATTTTGTACCGGGTACTTTTCTGTACCCGTTATTCTCGTACCGGGTACAAGAAAGTACCGAAGTTGCCCATCACTAGTCTCTGCGTTGATGTTGGTTTAGCATCTTTCACACTGGCCTGATATGTTGCAGGTCTGTGTATCTTCAGGTTCTTTATCTGGATCTTGTTTCAGTTTCTTTACAGGTGGAGCTAAATTATCTAGTAAATTATTTACTACTTTCATAATTTCCATGTCAAGAGGTAAGCCTACAAGTTTTTTTTTTTTTTTTTTTAATTTATTACTGTTATTACTTGCTTTTTTTTTTTTTTTTTTTTTCTGGTGCTTACATTCAGCTAGATTTAGCACTAAAAACATTTTTGCAGTTAACACATTTTATTATGTTCTTATTACCTTTTTTATGCGCATAAAATTCTTGGTAAAAAAACTCGGTAGATGTAATAGCGGGAACAATTGGCAGCAATTAATGAATTACATTTATACTTCGTTTTTGACAAAATTGCATAAACATGAGACTGCTTTGGAAGTATGCAAGACATATTGTTATCAATCGATCATTGGTTTCAGTAATTCAGCTGATCTGACTGATGATGCACTTAAGAGAGGCTGATGAAAATAATTAGTTTTTTTGTTTGTTTGGTTGGATGGATTGTTTCTTTATTTAATCAGCAAAACTTGCAATGGCAGTCGGTCTTAATGGGGTGTCGCGTCGTATTTTATAATGTTAAAGGTTAATTTTTAAGCACAATTTTGTTGACAGATGATTATAAAAATTTGAATATATTTAAAATATTGTTATTATTTTATTATTAGAATAGATTATGCACTAATTAATCCATTGATCAAACATGTATTTGAAGAATATTGTTATGAATTTTGTACATATATAAATAATTGGAACTACTCTGATATGTGCCCTCAAGTCGCCAAATTTTTCGGCAAACACCTTTGGCGAGAAACTTCACACGGCCGTATTACTATCTAAATTTTTTGTCTACATTTCGAACTTTAAGTCTAAAATGTCTCCAAAAACGCGGTTTTCGCATATGCAAAAAATACGTTTTGAACACACGATTTAAGCTAAAAGTCCGAAACGAAAACAAAAAATTTAGCTAGCAAAAACGTAAAGTTTCTAACCAAAAATATTTGACAAGAATCCATGTACACAGCGATATGTTTTAACTTAAAAAAACATCTACGAATGGCACACTGTAGGTAACGAACGAATCTACGAACTACGCACACCTCACTTTAATAATTAACATAACAACAATAAATTCAAAGAATACCATGTACACAGCGGTTTCACCACTTTAAAAAAACATCTACGAATTGCACAATCTACACTAAAACAAATCAAGAAAATAACTAAAATAATTTCACACAATTCAAAAAACAACAATAAACGAAATTCATAAAAAACAATGAATATACATTCTACACAAAAAAAAAGAATAAAAATAAAATGCACTTACCATAATGAAAGCTTCTTTTAAAAGCAGAAATATTCTTTCCCCCTACTTCTCAGATACAGAGCATACAAAGTCCAAAATACATTCGTTAATAAAATTTTGCCAGTCACACAACGTCTGTGATGAAAACTCCACGATTTTTGCTATATCAATGCCTTCCTACGATTCAAAATTTCGAAAGTAACAATAAAAACTTCCTCCAACGTTAACTTGCTACACACGAAAACCAAGATCCACCTTAACCTTAAACTCCGCTGACACCCACATACTTTATTAGCAACAATTTTACTGCAAACCCATAGAAGTCTACCAAAAAACACCATTTTTTCATCCGAGTTCTCATATCAGCTTCCGCATTTCGGACACGCACACTCCGTTTTTTAAAATCCCACTCCCACAGAAATTCCAAAAATACACTACGATCCTCATAAATACATCCGTGAACAAAAGATCGTTAACCAACTCCAACATCGTACCTTTTCATACTAAATTTACTCTGCACACAATCTAAAAAAACACGGCTGAAACCTTCCCACCACGTCTTTCATCGCAACATAGGCCATTTAAAAAAAACACGCGACACGAACCAACCTTGCCAAATAGCAATTAAACTACTCCACCAAAAGATTTTTCAATGTAGACATTGTTGCTATACAACACGCAATCGCGCCAAAAACCAGCGCAAAACACATATCGCCACATTTGGTGAAATTGGGCGTTTATCAGAGTTGTACCAAATAATTTTAGTGAAATTATATGTGAAAAGAATACAGACAATAGAGACAAGTCAATTTTACATTGAATAAATGGCTATCTCACTAAATTTGTGATATATTGCCAAGCCAGCAGCAAGTTGGTCCAGTCCATGTATAACTTTAATTGGTATTGTGATTAAACAAATGTAATTAATCTAGATATGTAGCTGTAACCATATTTGGTCCTCGTATGCCTTTTAGTAATTTTGAGCAGTGGAAGGTTTTAGAAATCTCTTCGCGGTCAGGAGAAAATTATGTAAGACCTTGGAGAATATCAGTTTCCGAGTAGTTCTTGTTATTCAGCATTGGTTTGGAGTATTGAGATATCTCTTTGTGAGCTTCGCTCTTTAAACATGCTTTGCATTGCATTTTGTTAAACGATCTTAGTAGTTTGAAGTATAACTCCTGTTTGTGCTCTGTGATACCGTGAAGAGCTCTACAAGTATTTTTATGAAAAATTCCAGATCTGTGAAGCGTATCTTTTAATAAAGTAAATTTTATCAAGCTATCATTAGTTCTGTGTGCACTTGATCTATTATGAACTAAGCACACAGTAATTTTTGGTATCAGAAATGGGATTGAATGCCACTGACAAGAGTGATGGAGGAACAGCTGGTGGCAGCCTTTGCTGCATTTAAAGAAGAAATGCAAGGGGCTGTCAACTCTAAGAGATGGAAGGCTATCAAGTCAGTCCGAGAAAAGATTGAAGCAGGTCAAGAGGAAATCAAAAGAGAAATTGTTGTCATAATAGAAAACAGAATTGAAGCTACAGAATTCAGAATGGACTTGTTGAAGATAGGAGTTGGAGAAACTAGAGTTTCTTCTGCCAAAGAAATTCATAGCAACAGCAGGAAGCAATTACAAGGGTTTTTAAATTTTCACCCATGTTTTCTCGACCCTCTCTAAAGCTGCCTGTTTATGATGAAGACCTGGCAAGTATATAACATTTCTATGTAGTGGTAATGCAAATGGATGGGATTCTCAAGTCAAGGCCTGCCATTTCACTGCTTCTCTGAGAGCAGATGCATCCGATATCCTTCAGACTCTGCTGAAAACCAGAGGCTAGACTTTGTAGATCTGTCCGGTGCACTAGAACTTCGCTTTGATGAGAAGTGTTTAAAAGACTATAGCAGTTAAAATCATGCCAGCAGAAACCCATGGAAACACTACAGGAGCTTGCCATGGATGTTGAAATTTGTTTCATCTTGCCTTTTCAGACTGCCCTTCAGAAACAAGGGAAATTTGCCCCTGCAGTACTTCATTGATGGCATCTGGGATTTTGAGATACAGAAAGCCCTGCAAATGTCAGATGTCAAGGATTTAAAAAGGTACATTAGTAAACATCATGAAATTTGAGGCAGCTCAGCAAGCAACTCATAAACACTGCCAACCAATCAGAGCTGCTCATGTCCAGGAGCCAGAGGATCATTGAGGTGGAATACGAGTGATAACAAATTGACTGTAAAGGGCTAGAACTGCAGTGGTGAAGGTCATGTACACTGCGCAAAAAAAAAAAAAGGGGGAAATTGTCCTACATCTCTTGTTCTACTGGGCCGATTGATGAAATTCAACTTGCGTTTTTCATGTCTTGAAAGCGCGACTTGGGATATTAGATTTAGATATAGCATTTCTCTAATGTACGTATTTTGACACAAAATTGGAATTTTTCTGAAATGACATTCACATTTTTTTTTTTTTTTTTTTCCATATTTCAATTTTACAACTCAAATTATGCCAAACTACCAAGTTTTGTAAAAATCGCACAAGTAGATTTTAAAAAATTAGCTCTCAAAATTGTAGCTCTTCAATGTTAATTGATTTGGTATAATATTTTTAATCTCTCTTGTTTTATAACTTATTTGATTCTCCTTTCACATTCGAAATTCAGGTCATTCCAAATAAAATTCACACCCATTTCTTTGATTTTTTTTTAAAATTTGTATTTTTAAATAATTTTATAAAATTTTTGAAAAAAAAAATTTCAATTATAATCTATAAAAGTTTTACCATCATTTTAAAGTAGACGTATTTCTAAGCATGCGTGCAAAAAATTAGTTTTTTTATTTAAAATTTCCGAAGATACATGTGAATTTATATATTGGCGTGTTTTGAAATTTGGCATATTTGTTGAAAGCGATAAAACATCAAATATGGTTTAGACATTTTGTTAAATTTATTTGAAAGTAGGAACAATGTCACTTTTTTCTCGCTCATGCACAATGTAAAAAGGTAGGAATGAGGTGCCTTTTTTTCTGCTTCGGCATAATGGAAGGGAAAGGAAGATAAGTTGCGATATATTGAGAAATTCGCCAAGTGAATTATTCTTGGCAAAAAAATTGCGCCAAGATAAATTTTTGTATTTCTCCGTAAATTTTGCACCAATTTTTACAAAATTTAATATCTAGGCATAATTTGAGTCATAGAATTGAAATATGAAAAAAATTGGTATGCTTTTTTCAGAAAAAGCTCAATTTTGTTTCAAAATACCTATGTTAGAACAATGCTATATATAAATCTAATATATATCCTAAATCGTGCTTTTGAGCATAAAAACGCAATTTGAATTTTGTCAATCAGCCCAGTAGAACAGGAGAAATAGAATTGTCCCATTTATTTTTTGTGCAGTGTACAAAGGAACTGCAGAACATCTCATGCGCAGAAAATGAAACTGCTTCCCAGCAAGGACATAGGAAACAAATTAATGGCCATCTTGCAGACTGGAATGGCAGATATTGAGAAGCTACTTTTTTAAGCAATTTGGATTTCTGCAGTGAGTGGCGGCTTAATGCACTTTTCATAATGGAACATATCAGTATCACTATGACTATTGATACTAGACCCAATGTTACCATCATCCAGAAAGATTCAACTGAACAATTGGAACGTTAAATCATCTGGATGCCACCCTGTGTTATTCCAGACTATGTCTGATGGAAAATTAAACAGCATCACATTTGGAAGTGCTGTCAATCATCACACAGCATATGTAACAGATATTATCATATCTTGCATACTTGGATTAGACTTTCTATGGAAATGTAATTTTTCCTTGGATTTTAAAAAATAACATGCATTCTACCTCTGAGGACATAACCATATTTGGAATTAAAGATGAAAGAGTTAAATCCATCCATCAAATCATAGCTCAAGACGATATCACAGTACTAGCAAGAACAGAATTTTTACTTCCTAGTTCCATAGCTAAAACTGGAAATTCAGGGTACGGCATCATGGAATATCCCAAAGAACTGTAACAGCCTGAAAGGAGTACTAGTAGCCTAGCCACTTGTTGACCTGTCGAGGACTGCTATCCCAGTGAGTGTTGCCAATCTAACTGATAAGGCAAAAGTCATTGGGAAACTCAAAGTGGTTGCAGCATGTACTCGAGTGACTTGTTTTAAACAAAATAGTAACCTTCAAGAATCCGTGTCTTTGGAGAGCCTAACATAGGAGTTATTGCAAAATGTGCACCTAAGTGACGAAGAGAGAAATGTTGTAGAACATGCCATCCAAGAATTTCAAGATGTGTTTCCCATTCATCTTCTGACATAGGTGAACAGCATAGAATTGAAGTAAGAGATCATCCACCAGTCAAGCAACATCAAAAACGTCTACTAATTCTAAACAGGAAGAGATAGCAAAACTTCTAAAGGACATGCTAGATAGTGATGTCATCAAGCCTTCAGCAAGTACATGGGCTTGTCCTTTCATCCTTGTCAGAAAAATAGTATAACTAGATTTTGCATTGATTATCTCAGGTTGAATTAGTTCATGTAGGAAGACAACTACCCTGTTCCTAGAATTTATGATACTGTGGACACTCTTTCTGGAAGCAGGTGATTTTGACTTGATTTAAAGAGTGGATATTGGCAGGTAGAGATACACCATGATGACCGAAAAAAGACGGCATTTGCACTGGACAAGGACTTTGGCAGTTCAAGGTGATGCTCTTTGTATTAGGTTGTTTGGAAAATAATGCAGGTATTAAACATATATTTTTAAAGTGTCATAACTCAAAAATAATTTTATTATTTAAAATAAGCACCAGCTGAATCAATGCATTTTTGCCAACGAGATATAAGTTTATTTATGCCTGTAGAATAAAATTCTGGAATTCTGGATGCAATAAAGTTGTCAAAGGCATTTTTGACCTCGTCTTGGTTTCTGAAGCATTTCTTATGCAGAATGTTATCCATATGTTTGAAAAAGTGATAATCGGGCGGCGAATATGGGGGAAGAGGGAGAATCTCGTATCCCAATTCGTCCAATTTCTGTAGGGTCAGTTGCAGACGTATGGCTGAGCATCGTCATGGAGGAGAACTGGTCTCTTTCTGTTAACTAATTCCGAGCACATGCGTTGCAATTTTTGGTGCATTTCGTTGATTTGTTGACAATACTTATCTGTCGTAATCGTTTCACCCAGATTTAGGAAGCTGTGGTGGATGAGACTGGCATCAGACCACCAAACAGTCAACATAGTTTTCTTTTGGTGCAAATTTTTCTTTGGAAAGTGTTGTGGTGTCTGACTGCGGTCCAACCCGTGAGCTGAATGTTGCCAGTTGTTGGAGAGAATCCACTTTTCATCGCACGTAACATTCAATCAAGAAAAAGGTCGTTTTTGTTGCAGAGAAGAAGAGCAGACGACACTTCAAAACGGCGATTTTTTTTAATTTTCGCTCAATTCATGAGGCACCCACTTATCGCGCTTCTTTGACTTTCCTATACGATTCAAGTGATCAAAAATCATTGTTTTGCTTATGGCAGGCTCTCGAACAGTTATGCATGGGTTTGTTTCAACTCGTCATCAACAGCTGAAGAGTGTCCACGATGCTCTTGATCTTCCAGGTCAAATTCTCCACGACGAAACTGTTGGTATCACCGTTGAACAGTAGATTCATTAACACTTTTCTCGCCCCATACTTCGTTGACATTTCGAGCTGTTTGTGCTGCGCTGTGGCCTAGCTTGTACTCATAAAAGTAAATTTGCAGAAAATCCCGTTTTGACATCTAAACAAAAACACCTAGTAAATATTTTTGAAAATAATTTTTGAACAAAATGGTAATTATAGAAATAAGAGCTTCAGAATGATATATAAACCAATGTAATTCAAAATATTTTTGTTGCTAAAAATGTACAGGAAAGTTAAAAATTGTAAAAACTGACATTATTTTCTGGACAACCTGATACTATATAATGCACTAGCAATGTTTGAACACCTGATGGGGACTATATTGAGAGTCTTAAGTATGAAACCTATCTGATATTCCTCAATGACATCATCATTGTCAGGAAAACATTATAGGAGCATTTAGAAAATCGTAGAAAGGTGCTTCAGAAACTGATAAATACCAAACTTAAGTTCTGCCAAATGTAAATTATTCAGACAGGAAGTGACATACCTCAGACATGTCATCTCTGCTGAAGGTGTCTGTGCGAATTCAGATAATGTGTCAACAGTTTGAAGACATGTTGTATATGTCCATCAGCTGAGAAGTTTCCGAGATTTCTAATGGACTTTTCTTCCATCTTAGGCCCCTTCACAAACTGAATAAATAAAAATTCTTGTGAACAAAAGAATGTGAGAATATGTTTAACAAACTGAAGGTTGTTTTAACATCTGCAACAATCCTGACATATCCTCAGCTTGATGAACCATTTTTTCTGGACACAGATGCAAGCAATGTGAGTGTTAGTGCTGCTTTGTCCCAAGAAGTAAAGGTTCAAGAACATGTCATAGCATACTTGCGCAAGTGTCTTATCTAAACTGGAGAGAACTTACTGTGTCACCAGAAAAGTGTTGCTCATCACAGTCAAAGCCGTTGGATGTTTCCACCACTACATCTACAGAAGAAAATTCCTGCTTTGCCCAGATCATGCATTATTGACCTGGCTATTAAATTTCAAGAACCTCGGAAGACCAAATAGCCAGGCAGATACAAAGACTCCAGAAATATGACATAAATATCCATCATAGGAAAAGATCATCACACAGAAATGCCAACGCCCTGTCCAGAAGACCCTACCCAGAAAACTGCCAATATCATTCCAGAGTTGAAGCAAAATTCAAGCTGATCAATCCACTCGAGTGTTGGATTTCAACATCGTGTAATCCAGACCCATGGAGTGATGAAGTCGGAAAGACCAGTGTGAAGATGTGGACGTAAAGTTCTTATTGGATTGAGTGGAATCTTCAAGTAGGAAACCTTGAAATAGGAACTTGTAGAACATTTCCATCTGCAGTCCTAAGGCAAAATAATATTGAGCTGTCTGGGACTCGCACCATATTCGAAGCGGTGTCATATACCAGAAATTCGAAAAGGATGATGGGAAGGTATTCCAATGGTAGCTAGTACTTTCAAGAAATCCCAGATCCTGAATATCCGTAAAGAATTACATAGCAGCCTGACAGGAGACTACTTTCGCATGATGAATACTTTGCAGAGTTTGAGAACACTTCAACTGGAGTAATGCAAGGGCTGACATGAAAAAGTGGTGCCAATCTTGCGATGCTTGTGCAGGTCAAAAAGGACTGAATAAACACAGCCGAGGGAAGCTACAATGTAGAAGTGAAAAAATTCAATATTAAAATTAATTTAATAAATTAGTAAGTATTGCTAATTAATAAAACATAGTTTCTATCAGTCATCAACCTGTTCCTGCCGTCAGCAGAGCAAAATCTATTTTTTGCCAACAGAAACTAGCCATACTTTGTTCTGTTTGTAATTTCAGAATTTATTTTTCAGGAGTCAGTATCTGTTCCTGTATACTATCCATCACCCAATGTTAGTCGTCCAGCTTCTCAATTGACTGAGGAAGAACAGATAAAAATAGCTCAAAGAATTGGACTCATACAGCACCTTCCTACAGGAAAATATGATGGAAGCAAGAAAAACCGAGAGTACATGCCACTTACTATCTTTAATTTTTATTGTTTGATAAAATAAATTTTTGGAGAGTTTTAGCGTTCGCAATTTTCTTAATGGAGTCTTTTGTAAGCATTAGCTACTATGTTTGTTATGTTATATTTTTGTACACTCTGCAAAAAAAAAAGAAAAAACGTGGGAGACAGTCCTATATCTCTTGTTCTATTGGGCTGATTAATGAAACTTAACTTGTATTTCTCATGTCTCAAAAGGGCGATTTAGGATATGTATTAGATCTCTATAAAGCATTTTATAGGCTTTTGATGTAAAATTCTAGTTTTTCTGAAATGACATACTGATTTTTTTCCATATTTCAATTCTACGACTCAAATTGTGCCAAACTGCCAAGCTTTGTAAAAATCACATCTGTGGTTTTTAAAACTTTAGTGCTTAAAATTTTAGCAGTGTTAATTGAATTATTTGTTAATATCTTTTATTAAATTTGCTTGATTCCTTCTTTCAGATACGAAATTTAGGTTCAATCGAAGTAAAATGTACAGATATTTTCCGATTTATTTTTTAAATGTGTATTTTTTATTAATTTTTAAACATTTTTAGAAATTTTTTTTTAATTATAACCTGTAAAATTTTTACGATCACCTTAAAACAAATGTATTTCTAGGCATACCTGCAAAAAATTAGAGCTTTTTATCCAAAATTTCCCAAGATATATATGAATTTATATATTGGTGCATTTTGAAATTTGGTATATTTGCTATAAGGTGATAATAATGCCAAATGTGGTTTATGAACTTTGTTAAAATTATTTGAAAGAATGAATGATGTACCTTTTTTTTCACTCATGCATAGTGAAAGGAAAACATATCACCATAAATTAAGAGTTTCACCAAGTGAATTATTCTAGGCGTAAACTAAAGAATGTGTGCCAAGACAAATTTTTATTTTTTCTCAGTAAGTTTCTCACCAAATTTAATATGTAACCATAGTTTGAGTCGTATAATTTAAATATGGAAAAAATTAATCATTTCAGAAAAAGCCCGATTTAGTGTCAGAATACTTATGTTGGAACTATGGTATATATAAATCTAATACATATCATAAGTCGTGCTTTCGAGACATGAAAAATGCAAATTAAATTTCTTCAGTCTGCCGAGTAGAATGGGAGATGCAGAAATGTAACTGGCTTTTTTTTTTTTTTTTTTTTTTTTTTTTGGTGCTGAATGTTCATATATGATCTTTTATATCATAAATATAAGATCTTTCTGAGCAATTAAAAAGCAAATACATTTATTAATTTCCTTTAAAATTTTGGGAAGTATTTTATTTACATATTTTTAGTCATATAGTATCTGATAAGCATAAGTTAAAATATATATTAAGCTTATGCATTCATCTGATAAATTTATGAATATTTGTAGCATTATGGCAATTATTAAAAGAGTTAAATTTCATTTAACAGAATGCCACTTGGCACCACACCTAAATATTGGTGGCAAATGTAATTAAAAATAGGAATGGCAATCTTAATAAGATATAAAACTTCATAAAAAAGCATGGTTCTTTAATTAGGTCCCCCTCCCCGGAGAAATACAAGGGGTTGGAAAAGGCAAACGCAGGAAGTGGCAAATCAGAATATAGCGTAATTATTCCATTTGTGAGTGGTTTTTTTTTTAATTGCAATAGACAGAATGATCTTTTGACACCACCAGGTAAATAAATATTCCAGTATGGATGATACATCTGTCGCAAAAGAATTCAATCACAATGCTTTCATATTTGGCAATCATCAAATCATGTAACCCATATTAATGCCCCCCCCCCTCAAAAAAAAAATAGAGAAAAAGATGAAAAAAATGTCAAAGGGAAAATTGCTGAATTTTTGTTCATATTTCCTGCTTATTTGTAAGAACTATATTACTACATTTTGCCTATTGGTACAAAATAATCTTTGTCCGGTTACTGAGAAGTACCATAAAGTTGTTTCTAAAGCCATATACAAGGTAGTTAAAATTAAAACGCTCCAACTCTGAGCTCTCTATACACCAAACTACTAAGTGTGAAGGCTCCAAAATTGTTGAATATACTATTCAAGGCATAGGGAAATGGATTACGTGAAAAAACAAATAGTTCCTGAAACACCGATAGGTGGCACTGTGCAACGGAAAATATGCTGAAAAGGCACAAATAATCACACGCACACAAAAAAACACATGAGGTATGGAAATATTCCTTTTTAATTTCTATTGCTGATATGAAGAAAAAGAACACAAAAAGTTAAGAAACTTAAACTGTCATTGTAAAACTTAAAAAATTTTAAAAAATTTTTATCGATGATGTCTGGTACTTTTAAAAGACAGTATCACTCTGCATGCGAGAAGCATCTCAATTCGTCAATTATGATCCGAAGTTAAACAAGCTGTCCACAGACTGCAGATTTTACATCTTGAAGGCAACCATATTGAGCAGTTTTCCTTTAGACATTGTATGTATTTTACACCCTTCTCTCCCTTTAGACTACACCTATGACAACAAGTCGATTGCAACACATTTTTAAGATAAAATGTAAATCTTACATACAAAAAAGTTGGCCACCTCTGGTATATTGGGCTTAGTTAGATTGAGGTTTAGTTCCTTAAAAGTGGGCTGGCATTCAGCCAGCCCACTTTTAAGGAACTAAATTTAAAGAAACCAGTAATTTGAACATGAGCCAATTCCCGTTAGAAAGTGTTCCATGGCAGTGCCTTTCCATAGGGTAGATAGCTCTTATAGTCTTTGCTTATTATCAGGATATCAGCTAGCCCTTCATCAATTACCTATTAATGTAAATTTTTAAATTAGATGTTTAGGTGTAGAATCAGTCATACACTTTGTAATTAATTTATAATTAATAATTTTTTCCCCTAAATTATTTTCTGGAAAAGAAATAGAATAAAGTTTTTCCCTATGGAATTTTTATAATATTTAGTTTTAATATTTTTCATTACGAGGTCAGTTTCAAATTTGTGTGTTATAAATACATTTTTAACATATGCAAAAAGTGTGTTATAGAGTTATATTTTAATTTTACAGTTTTATTTTATTTTTATGAGTCTTTATAGAGACATAAATGTTAACTTTTACAATCACATCACTTTTGAAATACTGAATTTCACATGTAACAATTTCTTTGTTTCCCTGTTTTACTTGACTTAGAAACAAAAGTGCATGGTGTTTTTTTTGGGGGGGAGGGAGGCCAAAAAATGTCATAACAATGTACTAATTTATTACTGGAGAAGGAAAAACGGATAAAAGTATAATTATTTCATAATTACTGGAATCATTTATTCAGGAGATAATAAATTGGAAAAGCATACTTCCTACATAAGAAATATTGGAAGTAATGTGTGTGATAGTATTTTGTTGCTGATACTTCATTTTTACATTTAAATGATAGATTTTACAAAGTAACTGTAGATTGTATGCAGAGTAATAATAATACAGAAATAATGTCCTATTGACAGGTGTAATGTCTATGGATTGTGCAAGTCTTTCACTAGGATATGAATTTAGATACCTTGACCCGATTATAATGCTCAGTTTTAAGAAATTCCTAAATCTCTCAATAAATTCGACTTATTGTTGTCAACCAAAAACTTGAATTCAGAATTAGTTTCATAATGCTGATGGAAATTTTTTTTTGGAAAAAAATTTTCAGTCAGTAAACTTGCTACTGTAGGTAAGAAAAATGTATTTCTAAAATTATGAGCTGTTCAGTATTTCAGAAGGCATTTTATAGGGAAAATTTTAGTGTTTAAGGTATTAATGCCAACCTGAAATATTTAATTTTGATTAAACTTTATTTTAATTTAATGTGCTTTTTAATTCTTTAACATGACATGAGCATATATTTATAAAAATAAACAGTATTGATTTTTTTTCCATATATACATATTTCTTGAATAAACTTCTAATATCTCTGTTTTGAAATTTTAGGTGTGTTATTTGTATGGGAGAATTTATGATAGGAGATCCTATACGGTTTCTACCTTGTATGCATATCTATCACACAGACTGCATTGATGATTGGCTCATGAGATCTTTCACATGTCCTTCCTGCATGGAACCAGTAGATGCAGCCCTTTTAACTACATACCAAACAAACTGAGCTTCTGCATTTAAATCTATAAAGGAGAATTAATAAGAGAAAATAATGTATATCTTCCTGTGATGGTATACAGCCAGGTTTGGGGTTAAAAGTGGTTAAAGTATATCATGTGTACTTTTAATGAAGTAAATGCTTCTTTTATTTTTTTTTTGTTGTTCAACTTAATCGTAAGCAAGGATTTTTTTATTGCTTAGGAAGATTAGAATTTTTTAAGCAAGCGTATATGTTTTGGTAAACAAAGTGATATTCAATTTATGCAAAAGGTGGGAGAATTAAAATTGCTTTTGTTCCATTTTTATTCTAAAATTAAAATTCATTTTGCTGTTGATTTTTTTATTTAAATGGATATAGAGTTCTTCCAATATTTAATAATCTCTTTTATGTGTATATATGTGTGTTAAAATAAAAATATTAGATATTCTTTGAAAGTAACATTTCTGGAATTTAAAATAAAATTGTGACAGTAACTTTGCAATAAAGTTAATTCACTGTCCTAGTGTGATACTGGCATTTTATAAAAATAAAATTCTTGCATGTAGCAAAAGTTAATTTTATATTGTAAAATATAAAACCTTTTGTAAGTTTTCATTAAGAAACTGAATATTTTTGGTATAATTTTGTAAACTAGAATGTTTCAGCTCTGATTTGTTATACATACCTAATATATATTTTGTTTGTTTATAATTTTTATTATTCTGAATTTTTTGCAATTCTGAAAATTTCTGCAATGTTTAAATTCATTGTAGCATAAATGTATCATATGTATAATATAAAGAAGTAATTTTAAAAACTTTTGTAGTAGATTTTGAAATTTATTGTTTTAAATAATGTACAAAAATGTATTATAAAGCCATTGCATTATTTGTCAAAAGTGCTCTTTTCACATTATGCAATACATGTAAGAGTACAGAAATCACAGGAAGTTAATTTTCTCATTTGTGAAGACGGACAGAGAAATGTGAAAAAGGAAGAGAAATTTCTTATGTATATGAATTTTAACCTAATGCAATTGTGATTAATTTTACCTCACTCTAGTGAATGTTATTGTAGAGTTTCAAAGCAAACAAAAGCCCATATTAATTTTATTAAATTTTTCTTAATTTTTTATTACCTGTCCTTTAATTCTTATTCCAGTGCAGTATTATTAATTTTTACAAAAATTAATATTTTTGTACTTGAAGTTCAACTTTTTTTTTTAAAAAAAAATTTTGAGCAATATGTATAAAATGGCATATGAAAATTATATATTCAGATCATTATTAAAAGTTTTAATTTTGTTTAATGGTGATTATTTTCGGTCATTGTTGAATTTAATGCAGTGGAACTTCAATTACTTGAAACTTATCCTGATCATGTGTTCGTTCTATCAAAAGTAAAATTAATGTTATTTGGTGTTTAATTATTATTTATTTTTTTATTTATTATTTATTAATTTATGCCAGAGATTCTGAATTTTACTGAGGCATTGTCTCAGAGAATAATTTAAAGGTAGTAGAAAACTGGTATTTTTATTAAAATTTTTAGTATGTGTTTAACTTGTATAATATATAAAGCAAATGTAAAAATAAAAGTAGTTAAAAAAAAAAAACAATGGTATGGGATTTAGAAAACATTCCAGATTTTATATCTGATATTCATCTCATGTAATAGGTGAGTGTGAATACTGTTACACAATTTATCTAAACTTGATTTTGTAACTTTTGTTTAAATTTGATTGAAAAATATTAAATTTTCCATTAAATAAATCTTTCAGTATTATATTTCATTAAAATAAATTAATTTTATAACAAGCTACCCTTTTTTAAATCTTCTAGCATTATACTCATTTCCATTAAGTAAATTTAATTAAAATTTTTTTTTAATTATTATTTCCTCAGCAATTACTCATCCTCCCCTCTCCAATATAACATAATATTTTCACATTATTTATATAAAAATTTCATCTTGTTCCAGACCCCTTTTAGACCATCTGCAACCCTCCTTTACTTTTAAGAAAGTAATGCATGTATAATATAGCTGATGGTACAAATGTGTGTATTAAAATATGAAACGTAAATGTCAAAAGAAATGCTTAAATTTAATTTTGGTTAAGCAATATTTATGTTTGTTTTTGTCTTTGTTGCAGAAAAAGCTCAACTTGATTTTTGAAATATCTAGGTGGGAAGTGATTCTCATGTTTCATATATTTGGAGTTGTAATTTGCTACTGTAAATGTATTTAACTTAATATATTTTTATGGGGCCTGTTAGCTGTTGTAATTAATATATTACTTTCTTTATAAAGGCAAGGAAATGTTACAAATTCAAGATATGGAAATGTTGTGTATCATGTTGCAGCACTTAAAATGATTAAGTAATGATATGATGAGTTCATGAATGCAAGAACCCATGTTCAATGTTAATCTATAGTAAAAAGTTCTGATAATATTTTTCATGGGGTCTTACTTAACATTAATATTCAATGGCATATGGTGATTTTTGAAGTTTTCTGCTGTATCTTGGTATGTATGAAATGAAATTGTTAACATTCATAAAATAGATGCATGCATTTAGCAGAGTTACATTTGTTTTAATTATATTTTTAAATTGCATTTAAAACAAAAATTAATTTTGTATCAAGTCAGAACTTATCACATTAATAGAATTAATGCATAGATTAATTAAAAAAATAACTGTATTGTTTGGAAAATTTTAAAATTGATAAAAAGAATTATTTAAATTTTTTAAAGCTTTAAAATGATTAAGATTTGTTTTTAGTATTAAAAGCAACTTTTTTAGTATTGAACACAAGCTTCATAAAATGAAAAGTCTTTACATGTATATTGTGAATTCTATCCAGATCTTTGCAAGATGCGTTTTGAATAGTCATCCTTTTATTTTATGCTGATGCATAAAGGAATGTTATTCATTGTAGCAATGCATGTGTGTGATTGTATTGTGTCATTAAAATTTATTAATTTCTCTTTCTTAGTCATGATTTTCATGCTTGCATTGTGTATTAACTTTGTGTATAATTGTGTAGATGTATTATTACTATTATTCAACAATTACAATATTATTACTCAACAAGATGATATATTTTAACATATCATAATGATTTTGAACGAATTCAAATTGATAACTGAGTATGTATCTGCATAAGTTTTATGTTTTCTTATGTTTAGAGTAAAAACATTTTCTTTAGATTGTGATGTGAAATTTTCAATTAAAATTTTATGACCTAAATCACAAAATATAGTTTTCATTCAAGTCAGGTATAGGAATTTTGTTGTGCATGTATGGGTTGGGGGGAATGCTGGATGTTTTTGTATCTTTTAATATTGCTATTAAGAGATATATTTCCATTTAGTTGTTGAAGCTTTTGCCACTGAGTTCATGTTCCATCTTTCCTATGCGTTATGTTTTCATAGAAAATAAACTTCAATTTAATAACTTCTGAAACTGTTGAGAAAAATGTTTTTAATGTTGTAAATACTTCTACCCTTGGGGTTAGAGACATGATTAAAATTGTAATAAGTTCTGAATTCATTGTTTTGAAGATTTATCATTATCTTTCTGTTGTGTCCTTTGTTTAACTACTGTGTTTGCTGCTTGCTGTATGTCACTTTTCACTTTCAGTAGATTTTAAATGAACCATTCTTTCATTATACTGAATTGTGTTATTTATCTTTTACATTTTATGTGATATTTTGTAGTAATCTCAGAATTTTTTTATATACATTGTTTCTTATTCACAGTGTAGAACTTCTTTGTTTTATCGTTTTCCTGTCTTTTAGTTTTAAATTCTTCTTGTTTTAAAAGAAAAATATAATAATATTATTTTATTTGAAATGTATACTTTAAAAAAAATTCTAACTATTTAAAAATAGTTTTGTTTTTAATCTTGGTGTATCAGCCTCTGTGATATTCTCAAGATTATCTGAAAATTAAAATTAGATGGGGAAAAATTGTGTTAAAATTTCAATTAGTTCTGCCAGATTTTAAATTATAATTTTTTCAAACATGAAACTTACAGAAACTGTTTATTCACACAATGTTTATATATATATATATATATATATATATATATGTAATAATATTTATAAAGCCACCTGCTCTCTTTGGGTCATATGACATATTATTTTTTATCTTTAAAATGATTTCTTGGGGGGGGGGTTCTTAAATTCATTTTCTACTTCTAAAAAATTCTTGTATCTGAAAAATCTTTTGAGTATTAAAAAAAAAAAAAAAAAAATTCCTTCCTTTAAGTGGCTTTAGTTTACCTGTTGTTATCTATAATTTTGCTAGTATCCAGCACATGATATTACTTATTTTAGTAGATGATTTTTAAAAAGAAAATTAATTTTTAGGATTTTGAGTGTTTCCATAATGGAACACATATGTTTGGAGAATGTCTAGCTTATATCTATAACTGTGTGCTTTTCATGTTTTACAATTATTCTATTATTTTAAACTTTTAAATTAAATTTTTTTTTCAGTTTTACATGAATGTTAAATAATTTTGCTAAGTACAAAAATGGTTTAATTTATATACTTTTAAGTTACTATAATGTATAATTTCTTTTGTATTGTTAAATAAGTCTTTCTTGGCTTTTTTTATGAGAAAATCCAATTTTTTTTTTTTTAATTGCAGTTCATAATCTGCTGGATTAGTTAAATTCGAGATATAGTTATTCAAAAATACTTCTCTTGCTCTTTCAAGTAAAGAGCACTTTCTCTTTCCGTTTATTTTCTCCAGCTTCATAGCATTCTTTTTTCTGTGATCTCTTTTAATGAAATACATTAGCTTTTGAAATTCACTGATGTAGATTAGAGTGACCAGATATGGATTGTGCAGGACAGTCCCATGTTTCAGTGGGGTATTTTGCTTCAGGATATGACCTGAATTCTGTAATTCTGGAAATTAATTCTGGAATTAATTCTGGAATTTGTAAATTAATTCTGGAATTTGTAAATACATTTGGCCTGAATTTTGTTAGTATTGCTCTATACAAGTGTGAAGAAGTTTCTGTGGAATCTGAAATATATTCAGCAATTTAACAATCAAGCTTTCAAGGTACAAGTTTTAGAGAAATCTGAAGATAAACAAAAATAGCTTGAAAAGAATTTTTAAATTTCTCCCAATCTGTATTTTTCTTAGAAAATAGACATTAAATTTAAATCATAAATATTTTAAATTAAGGCTTAAGAAAATAGTGTGGAATGTTAACAGATGGAAGAAGTAGCTGTCAAGGGAAAAGAATTTGCTGAAGAAGCATTATCTGGTTGCAGATTGCCAAAGAATAAAACTGAAATTGATTGAGAATCATTTTCCAGTAATCTAGAATAATCGTTCTTTTTCAAATCTGAAATGTTATAATTGAGCTCCACTTTTTACTTTATTATTAAAAATTACGGTAAACAGTATATATTTTGATAATAAATGTAGGCCCGCCAGCATAAAAATGTAACTAGATGTATTAGATGAAATAATTTAAATGGAGATACAGAAAAGACTATCCTGTATGTATTAGTAGATATGACTTATTTGGGGAAGTTTTACACCAGGTTTATAGCCATAGTTCTATGCAAAATGAAGAGCTGAAGCATCCTAATGATATAAAATTCAGTGTGCATTTTAAAAACTTGTCTGAGTAGATCATGGAAGCCTGGAAATGAATTTTATTGAAAATAACCAAGAAGTGCTGTAAGAAAACTGATTTCTTAGTCATGGATGTTTCTCATTCTAATTTTAACTGCCAAGATGCTGAAAATGCCAACATCTTTGAATCAGCAACATGTGGCAGGAAGATAGATACATTAAATCAATCAGGATGTGCTGTAAGAATAAGAATCATTATTATCTTGCCTTTCAGAAATTTGCAAATTTTTTGCAGCTTGATTTTTACTAATGAAAGGTATCACAAGAGTGCTAAAAATATGCATGGAAATACTGTTCTGCTAATGAAAAATAATTTATTTCTTTTTCAGAATGAATAACAAGAATTGAGTAATTGTGAAAGTAGTTTGAGGAAGACCTTTGAATTTATTTCAACAGAGTGTATTTGTTAAAATACTTTTAAAAATACTTAATCTGTGATTGCTTTAGTTGTTAATAAATATGTAACTTGTGAATAAAGCCCAAGCAAAAGATTATTTTTAACGAAATTTAGGTTTTAAATTTACCTACAGAAATTTGTTTCCAGGCATTAAATTTAGGAAGTCTTTTTCCCAAGAAAATACTGTTGCGTGCATATGCGTTTGTGATAAATTCAAAGGTCTTCCTCAAATGCACAAGTCCAATAATAGGTTAATAATTTTTTTTATCAAAATAAAAACTCAAATGTCTAGAATTTCATGGAGAAATATTTGTACAAGTGTTCACTGTATCACACAGTATAATTAGTAATTACACTTCAAACTACTAAGAATATTAAACACATTGGAATGCAAAAAAGCACATCTAAAGAGAAAACTAACTCAGATTTATTTCAGCACACGGAACTACAATTTTCAACAACAATAACTAAGCAACTGGAACTCGGATGCTCTCTGTCTGGGTTTTTATACTTTTCAACTGGCCGTCGAGATATTTCTAGTACTTTCTGACTCTCGAAACTATTGGAAAGCAATAAGAGTGTGGGATTATGGTTACAGCTAGCATAGAAGTCAATTACATTTATTCAATTTCAATACATATTACGGTGATACAGAGACCATGCCCAAATGGTCACCAAATATGATGATAAAATAAGTTGCCAAAAACATAATCAGCTTGGTGATATCTTGCCAAATTACTGAGATACCTATTTACTTAATGTTAAATGCACTTGCCCTTGTATTCTTAATTTTCCACCATATCGTTCTTTTAAAATTTGTTTTGCGTTACATTACTTGAAAAAATGTATGATGATTTCACTCAGAACTGCACTAAAATCATATATCTTTGTAGAAAATTTGTAACAATATGTTTAGAATCCAATTTAAGATGCTATGAAATGCTTCTGTTGCTTATCTTGTAACAAACAGACTGAGAAACCTAAGCATGTCACCCATTAGATTTATTTATATATAGTTTTTATTATAATTAATTATTAACAATAATGCTAAACTTTATTTTTTTAGATATACTTGATATTTATTTCTAGTGTAGTAAATTTCATGCAGAGAGATAATTATAATTAAATTTCAGTTTTTAAGTATGATCCTGTTATTGCGTCTTATGATGTGTTTCAGCATCTTGAATTATCTGATCTTTATTTTTATATTATAAGTTTTCTGCTAAATATTCTTAATTTGAGTTGTAACAAAGCTATAAATTGCATCAACAATTATTGAGCAGTGGTAAAAATTGGTGGCATGTGAGACATTTTACTTTCGTTGTCAGTCTCTTCAAAATGGCTATAAAAATTTTTTTAAATAAATTATTAGTGCTTTTATTTCTAATCTTAAAGCATCGTTATTACAAAATACTTATTTTTTATACAGCAGTGGCCATTAGCAAAGTTCCATTCTTAATGGAATTCTTCATTGAATAACAACTCACTTTCTTGAGCATACCTTGAATATAATAAGCTGTAGTATAGCATATTAATTGCTCTGTGCAGGAGGCTCTAGTTGATTATGGTGTAAGTTTATGTGATGTAGATAAGATACAGTTTTGAATCAAGATTATTTTGGAGCATATGGATTTCATATTCAAAGGTTGCTTAGTTCTGATTACTCTGTATACTTCTTAAATTCATTTTCAAACTTTTAATCATGTTTTTACTTATGTATATTGCTATTTTTAGCTGAATATAAACCATTTTCTTTAGAAATTTTTTTATGAACGCTTCTTTCTAATTAGACAGATTACCTTCACATGTTCTTCCACAGTCAGTTGAACATACACACATACTTAGACGAATTTGACATTTCTTTGTTCTGTTACTAAAGTTCTTATATGTTCATGAGGAAAAGTATTAGCATTTGATTGTAGAAAACAGTTATCACTTTATTATTTTTTCCTAAGCATGCTCCATATTTGATAACAGGCATCTGATGTTTCAAATATAATTTGCTCTTATAAATTGCAATGCGTAGTACTATCATCTGACAGATTCCTTAACATGTGATCCAGATGTAAGATGTGAATTTCTTTTTTGTAAAAGGAAGGTCAAAACAAATTAGTGAATATATTTAATTTACGAATAAATTGCAATAAAACATCATTTTCTTCATTATACTTTTAAAAACAAAAGGGGAAAACTGAATTTTTGCTTAATAGTACTTTTAAAGAATAATTATAAAAACATTATGCAGTTAGTTATGATATAATGATTCCTGTCAATATGTTAAATAAGTGTATATAGTATGTATTTTTCAGACAGTGTATAAAATTGCTAAATAGGTTTCACAGCTATAATTTGTGGAACTTTTGGATAAAAATAATTAATTTTTTCATACTGTCTTGAAATGTATAATTACTTAATGGTACTATTAATTTTGATTCATAAATTATGCTGTGAAATGAAATAATTGTTGTACATAAAAAAATAGGTTGTTAATTGTTACTGTTGTAGTTCTGAAGACACCTTGTCTTGTTCATGAAATTTCTGAAAATCAGCTGATGTAAGTCATTTCTTTTACATCATCATAAAGGAAGATATATTTTTGAAAAGAAAAGGAAAAAAAAATATCCCTCATAGAATTAATATAATTTGTGTTATGCGTACCAATTTTGTAACTGGATTTCTTGCTTTTTATTTCTGTATTTTGTAAAGGACAAAATAAAATTGAGTTATTTTCAGTTTCAGTAATAAACTCAATTCAAATAAAATGCTTAGTGTAGTACTATAATTAATACTCATTTCAAATTAAATTTAAGTTTCAGTTATTTTCTTTTTGAGGTCATCAGTTTTACGTAATGCTTGTTTAACACTTCAGTACAATACTTAATATCAATTAAAAAGCTGTTAAGTTTCAGTTATTTTCTATGGCCATTTCTATGTAATGCTCATTTTTGTGTGGCTACAGATGTGAGGTTAGCACATCATGTTGCATGCTGAGAATAAAATTCTTAGCAAAGCTGTGTGCTTCAGTTTTATATATTGTATATCGCTAAAGAAGTAGACTAAAAGTATGTGTGTGCACATATATTTGTTAGCCATTGATTGACATCTTAGTTGGATTATGGCACTTGTCAATAAATTCATGATATTTTTATAAATGCATATTGAGATTATGTTATTTGTATATGCTTATGGAAGTCATTAAATCTGGAACTATCAATTGTATATTTTAATATGTTCCTGCTATTCTTGCATAGCATTTAAGGCCATTTGCTGAAGTATGTAGCTTTATTTCTCTTCTACTTAGTTCTTTGCCATATTTGTAATGTTGGAAAAAACAATAAAATGATTTAAACTTCAATTTCTTGAATCTGAGTTTTATTGAATTTTATTTCTAAACTAGGTAACTTTTTTTTTTTTTTTTTTTTTTTGTATGTGTGCATATGTAGGTATCCATTATTGCATGAACAAAAAGAGCACATAACTCGTTTCTGTGATTATTATTGCTCCCCCCCCTTTATAAAGTGCATATTAGATCTGTATCAGTAATTATTCTCAGCATTTTAACATAATTTTTTTTTTCTTAGATTAACTTACTGATTTGGAGCTCATTCATACCATTTATGTACATAATGAGCTGATAATTAATATATATGAGTTAGACAATAAGCTCATAATAATAGTGAGAAGAAATTCATAATATTTTATTTCAGTTGTTCATTTTAGAAACAATATTGAACTAACTGAAAGCTAACAACAACCTCTATTCAAAGTACTATTTACATTAAGATTTCATAAAATGGCTTCTTTCCATATTATTTCATTGGTACTTTAATGGATCAATACTTTATAATTTCTAAAATGTCCCTAGGTACTAGTAAAGAGGTGAAATTCATTGATTTGTTTTGATTTTGACATTTATTTACACTGCAGAAATTTGTGTGTGCCTCTAGAAACATGGTGTTAAAACTTTTATTCTATTGATTGAAGAATGTGAAAATTCTTTCTAGTGATTCATAAATGACTTTTTAAGCAGAAAAGTCAGTAATTAATTTGATTTAAAAATCATTTTCCCAATTTAAAAAATCAAAAATTTTTTAAATGCTTCTCAAATATATGCATATATTAATTTCTACACATGTAATAAACAAATCGAAACTGACGCTTTAATAAGCATTTCAAAATATAAATAATTGTTTTAAGCATGTATTTATTTTGCTTATAGCAGTAGCAATGATTCAAGTATGTTGTACTCATGTAAAAGATGAACAGAAGACAGTCGTTATTGAGATGGTAACAAAGCTAAGAATTGTAAGCAACCCAAGGAGAAGGGGTGAAGCAGAAATACGGGGTCAGTGTCCTTCCTTAAGTCATAAAGAATATTTACACATCACCGAGCTGAAGCTAAGCCTATTAATGAAACTTTCCAATATAAAATTTTAAATTGGGCAAAAGGCCCGAAAAGAAAATGAAGGATTTCTTTTCAAATTTTTTATGTACTTAGGCTTAGAGCATGTGTCTTTTTGCCCATGCCTGCCGAAAACTTCTTAGTCGAAAGTCAAGATCTTCGAAAATATCGTGGTAAAAAATACAGAACCTACAAATCACTGTATGACGATAACATCATAGATGTAGATTTTTCAGTTGTAAATGTATATTCGCATTCGAAAGTTGTATATTCCCATAATGATTTGTGAGGGCAAGTTGGAATCGAGAATATTTTTATTATTATATTTCATATTGCATTTTTTAAGAATTTTTTAGTTACAAAAGCAGTAAGGAAACTTAAGCAGTCAAAAGCTGAAAATAAGTAGAAAATTAATGCTACATATAGCAGTTAATAAAATTTTTAATTTATGAAGTTAACTATTAAAATTCATTACTTAATTTATCTCTATTATAAAATTGTGCCTGCAGTTTTTCATAAAAAATGTACTCTAAAAGGAATTCGAGAAGAGAAAACTAGTAACTGTATGATGTTACCTATATTAAAATTGTTTAGTTAATTATCAAATTGTAAAATTATTTTCTCTCACCTTTGCTAATCTGATATTCTCTTAGTAAAAATTAAGTTGTTTTGTTTCTGTTTAGTCGTCTTTTTAAAAGTGTCATTAACACTTTTATAGATAGCATGCAGTTAATCGTTTTGATGTTAATTCATTAGTTACAATGAAACTTGTCAGGGAATAGCTGCATAAATTTCAGTAGGGAATTTTGATTTATTGGATTATGGCAAAGCACTTAAGGAGAAGGATGCGTTTGTGTAGGACATTCTCGGGAACTGACGTTATATATTATTGAAACCACAAAAATCTCAAGCAGCCAGTTTTTTTTTTAGTGTCAAACTACCAGTGTTCTTCTCGGCCACTGGTGGCCATTTCAGCAAGGTAATATTACGGAAACTGATTCATTTTTACAGAAGACTGAAATTTAAAATTATACCTACAAAATTTATATGCAGATTTTTTCTTTAGAAATAATATATTCAAAAGATATAAATATTCAATATACATTCATTCAGAAATAATATATTCAGTGTAATTATAGTGAACCCTCTAGATGACTATTTTACTAAGATGACCCGTGTTTCTTAGAATAACTAAACTTAGATATTAAACATTGCTTCTCTGATATGAAGAAGACAACTAAAAAGATACGGAATCGTGAATGGTCGCTTTAAAGAGAATTATATATTTTAGACATTTCTTATAAATAATTTTAATAAATTATTTTTTTCCGATATATTTTATTCAAATTTTTTTCGATGTATTTTATTCAAAATTTTTTGAGTTATTGCTTGAATTTTTTGCGTATGCAATAAGCCATCTTCCTAAGATGACCACTTCTAAAATTGATCATTATGACTGTAAAATTTTGTAATTAAATCTCATCTTTAGTAGATCGGCAAATCATTTAGAATTGTAAAAATATAGGCCTAGAGAGGGTTCACTTTATTCACCATTTAGGTATTTTTTTTTGGAGGGGGGACATAAGCTCTTAGTTTTTCGAATATTTATTTGAAAAGTGTTGAACTGTTTATTGGTCTTTCTTAATACAAAGTGAATCATCTCGTAGGGGTGTCTACTGAAAGTGACCAATAATCGGTTTAGATATATATAGACGCATACTACCTACTAATTTACTCTGATTCTTAATGTTGGACTTTGTATTTGATTGTTATTTAGCGTGATATTTAAACTAAATTATCTACTAATAGTCAAACATTGGTTTCCTCTAGGCATATACTACCTGCTCCTTGTTCTGGTCCAAGTAACATTTTACAACTTGTTAATTAAAAGTAAATAAGCTGAAAAATGTCAGTTAAGTAGTTTCCAGTTTGATTTATTTTTAGTACATATGGAATCAATTGTGCTAGTTTAGAGTAAAGAGCACTTGTTTAGCATAGGGTTGGAAACAGATTAAAGAATTAATGAAAATTTTATTCGTGGTGTTAGTTTCATTTGATGAATATTAACGTTCATACCTTAACCTTGAAATTAATACCATAACCTTGAAAAATTGGTAAACAGTTTTAAAATCGAAGTAAAGTATTTAACTATTTTAAAATGCTTCAAACCGAGAGAAAAATATTGGTAAGTTAAATGTCAGATCACAGATGAATCTCAAAATACTCGTACTTAGATTGAAATGTCTATAGACAGCTAGGAGTATTCAAAAGAAAGAGAGAGATGAGACTAAGCAGAATAAAAGTATTCATGTTGAATTAAATGGAAAACGTTGAAAAATACAATAATTCAGAAGCCATGTTTTAGCTATTCGTTTCATGTAGAAATGTCTCATATGAACATATACGTTTTGGCATACAGTGTATCTATATCTCTCTCTATAAATATTTTCTGTTTCAACGCTTTTAAAGATCTGAATGATGAATTTTTGTCAATCGAGTACTTTATTAAATAGTATCTCTCTCTATAGGCTCGTTTACACGTAGTGATTTTCTCGGCCGACTTTCTCGTACGTAGAGCAACAATTTTAAGGATCTGCGCATGCGCCAAAAATCGGTCATGTTCTCTGCCGCGATTTCAGAACTGTTCACTGCACACTAGCGTACGATAAAATCGGTGTCTCTAGTCAATAAAATTGCTTTGCGTTATCACGTACTTTTCTCCTCATTTGGAATAATAATTTCGTTAATGCATTTCGTTGGAGCGAAGCTAAAATTTTTCAACTAATAGATTTCTATAGAGAAAATTCCTATAGAGAGAATGTTGTGTTGTGGGATACGAGAAATGTAAATTTAAAAAATAAAAAGTATTTTTATAGTATATTTTAGTATTAGTAATAAAATTTTCTCTTATTTTGGGATTTGTCTTCCCTATTACTTTATATATTCAGATATTTTCTATTCGGGGAGAAAATTATTTTAACTCCCCCAAGGAAGGTTCCAAAAACTATTGATGATCCCATATCATGAAAATATTCAGAAACTTCTTGAAACTGTGGTCGCACTTATTGAAAAAATTCAGAAAGCAAAATCTCTAGTCGAAAATAAAGCAGCGCAGAGACTAATTGACTTCGCCGAAAATGGGAGTTAATCAGGTGACGAGGTACATAGCTTTTCCGACACCTCATACGCGAGCGATCATAGATCAGTGGTAAAGAGAAGAGCAGGTTTTTTCCGTACATCGGGATCATGGGTTCGATCCCCCCACCCTAGCTTTGGACTTTCTGCGCCTGCAAGGACCTTCTTAATTTCGCTTCTCCATCACTAAATTCGAACTGCATGACTTAAAAGTCACTTTTTATTTTTTCGCCTACTGGTGTGGTGTTTATTGAATTTTAACGCATTTCTTTTCATTTTTCGAATGGCCCTTTGCACGTGTTTAAATCTACTGGTTAAAAGAATGTCACAAACTCAGTTTTGTGTTAATTGAGATTTGCGAAAATAAATTACAGCCTAATTTAATACAATAATGCTAAATTTTATTAGCTGATTAACTGATACAGTCATATGATCATAGTTTTCAGACTGTATTAGTTATTTAATTATGCTGATATTAGTTTTTTAATGTTCAATAATATGCTGCTTAAGACTTTACACCTTTATGATATTTCTTATTTGAAATTTTTGCACTGAAATTACACTGTTGCTTTGTAATGTAGTAATCTTTATTCTTTATTACTTCTTTTTACTCATACTGGTTTGATATTCATGACATTATTGTCTATTTATTCATTAATAAAGGTTTTGGTTTAAAGCACACTAGTTATTTATTTTTTCCGAAACATAGTTATTTTATTATTTCCAGATTTATGTGCACAAATAGGAGTGCCAGAAAATGAAATTTAAAAATAAATAAATAAAATAAAAAAGGAGTAATCTGTGCACTCAGTACACAA